TTTTTGGGTTTGATTAAATATTTGCTGATTGTTGCTTTGGAGGCCCTTTGGCCTTTGATGTAGGAATGATACGGATGGGATTGGAGGTGGAGGTGCAGCATCAAGCCAGAGCAGGAGCTGTGGGGTGGAAGCACCAAAAATAACTTTGTGCAGCTTGGTGTGAGATCCAGACTTTGTCCCAGCAGCAAGAATCATCCTGCAAGATCATCATCCCAAAATGGCTGGGAGGGCAGCCAGTCCCTGTGGATTCTTTTGGAGAAGGTGAAGGAGAACAGTGGAGGAAAGGCTTTAAGTTGAAGAAGGGTAGATTTAGACAGGATTTTTAGGGAGAAATTCTCCCCTGTGAGAGTGGGGAGGCCCCGGCACAGGTTGGGCAGAGAAGCTGTGGCTGCCCCTGGATCCCTGGAAGTGTCCAAGGCCAGGTTGGACGGGGCTTGGAGCAACCTGGGCTGGTGGAAGGTGACCCTGCCCATGGCAGGGGTTGAAACTGGAAGGGCTTTAAGGTCCCTTCCAACCCAAAGCACCCCGTTCCTGTGCGATGTCCAGGTGGGATGCGGTGCCGGGAAGCAGCTGGCACTAGAGGGCAGCAGCCCCCCGCGCCGGGCAGGGTTTGGGGACAGCGGGACAGGGACAGGACAGGGACAGCGGGACAGGGCATGGTGGGGTTCCTGCTTCCTCCTCCACACCAGGGTCCTGCAGGGATCCCACCCCGGGATGGCTCCAGCTCAGCCACCCCCGTGGGGACAATCCAAGGGGATTTTTCCACCCGTCTGGTCACACTTGGGGGAAGAGCAGGGATGGAACGCGGTGAGTGGCTCTGAGCTGCACCCCAGGAGATCCCAGAGCACACAGGCTGGGAGCTGAATCCCCGAATCCTATGGGAGCTTGGCCTTAGGGAGCTGGGCCGGAATTTGGGCTGGGAAGGTTGGTTTATGGAAGAATATCCTCTTCCTAAGAAGGGAAGCCCAGGCCGTGCCTGGAACCCTCCAAATCTCCCTTGGCTGGGGATTTTGGGATGCCCTCAGGGAGTGGTGTCCCCATCGGCAGTGGCCGGGAGGGATGATCTGCACGGGGACAGGGACGTGCTGGGGCAGGGAGACATGGACAGCAGGATCCCCAACCCCAAACAAGCCCTTCTTCCAGCCCCTCCGGGGTCCCACTCCCTTTGGAGACATCCCCGTGGTGACACAGGAATGAGGGATGGGGGGACAGACCCCCTCAAACACACCCCCGCTTCCAAAACCTGCTTTTATTTACATTTCAAGTCAAATCACATGCGAACTCTTGGTTTGTTTTTTTTTTTTTTTTTGTATGTTTTTTTTTCCTTTCCTTAAGAAGAGTGTGATTAGCAAAAAAGACGCATTATTAGAATTTCCAAATAGCAATTAAATATACAAAAATAGAGCTTACAAAAAAACCAAACGAACAAGAGGAAAAAAAAAACAAACCATAAACCAAAACAGCGAATGTTTTAAAAAATATTCTGCTGCAGAATCCGTAGTGTACAAACACGTCTATGAGGCTCCACGCTCCATAAACAGTCCTGGGAGGAATTTACGGGATTGGGGGGACGGCACCCGGAGCACCCCCAGCCCTGCACCCGGGGAAGCCGCTGCCGTGTAATACTGACACCCCCCTCCCCAAAATCCAGGGAATACGAGTTGTGAGGATGGCGGGGGACACCCAGATCTGTGGCTGGAGAGGTGAGGGGGTGGCCCAGCTCCCCACCATGAGGATGGTGGGTTTGGGGGGCTGCCCAGAGACCCCCAGGGCCAGGCTGGAAGCGATGGGATGATCCCAAAAGCCAGGATTTTTGCCTGCCCCCTCCATGCCATGGCTCTCACTGCTACTGGGTGACACCAGGATGGTGCCCATTCCAGGGACTCCTGAGGTAGCCGAGGAGGGGGACAACCACCCCCAGGCAGGGCGGGTGGGGAATCCAAACCCAGGAGACCCCACACAGCCACCACC